TCCTCTATTTGTTGGATAATGATCTGCTCATCACCGGTTGCTGTCAACCCTATCTCCTTGGCAAAGTTCCATATTTCCTTTGCTGAATTTGAGTTGGATCTGGCTCTACTTCTTTTGTTACAATTAATAATTGCTCCATCCGAAATTGACTCCCCTGCAACAGGCTTTTCGGCATTTGAGAAGAATTTCGGTAGTCCTCCTTGCTGGGTTGAAATCGCTTTTAATCTACCCTCTCTGCTCTTCTTTCCTTTCCCCATCACAGCAGTCCGGACATCTTTGTATACCGACATGCATGCCCTTGATTTCTTCTTCCTCTGCTTCTTCTTTCTCAAATTCGATCTTTTAAACCTGCTAATCCAGTCTGCGATCGGTCCTGAATCGCTGCTTAGCTCCGCCCAGAAAGAATCATCACCTCTTGCATCATTCCCATCACCGGCCGGCACTCCTGCATCTTCAGCTTCGTCGATCTGCTCTTGAGGATGTATTCTATCTTGGTTGCCTTTGGCCGGCCTTAAGGATAAGAGCCCAACATTTGCTTTTGGCCCATTTTCCATTAACCTTTCCCCTGTCCCATTTGAGATGGGCTGGGCTACTATCTGGCCCAAACTCTGATCTGTCTTATTCATATCCCCCTGATCCCCTTGGCGCACCTCATTGTCTGGCCCCACCCCGACCACTTCCTCATGATCACACTGCTGTGTTATTAAATTTTCTGCTCCAGTCATCTGTGTCTCTTTCACCACATTAAGACCCTGCTCCTTGGAACTATCACTTTCTCCACTTCCGCCTCCTAACTCATTAATGTGCTCTGCATAGCTAGAACTAGGAGTCTCATCAACAATTTGAAATTTTTGAATTTCTTGGGCTTTTCCAATTGCCATGTCAGCTTCTTCTTCCCCACCATCCTCTTCAGACCAATTCACCTGATTTTTACTCCGGGAGGCATGGCTAGCTTCATCGAACTCTTCTCCAGAATAATGATCAGTAGACCAGAGCTCAATATCCTCATCATCCGAATTAGACTGAGAATCAAGATTGTAATCGGTTTTAAGATTAAAGAATCCATTGCTCCCGTCCTCCTCTCTGCACACAATGTTGTGGAATTGACCATCCACTTTAACCCTTAACACTCTGGAAATATTGTTCGTCAGAGTGGTTGACACTAGCACTCTTGCCACATCAAACCTTTTCTTCAACCTAGTGCTATCGTCAAGAGAGATAAATTTTCCCCACAAATTTGAAATAGTAGAGAAAAAATTATCACCCCAAACTGATAGGGGAACCCCCATAATTTTTAGCCATACAAACCGCTCCTTCGCCACCATTGTGGAGGTCCATGGACAGATTTCCTCAAACCACTGGCTAAACCAATCCGCTGCAGATTCCATCAAGTGCTTGAGCTCATCTTTGTCTTCTCCGTCTATTAACACCATTTTACCGCCCATGGCTTTAACTCTGACAGAGAACATCCCTTCCATATACATACGTTCTTGTATCACTGGTACGATCTCCACCGACCTTGCCATGCCTACGAAGCAACCATCCAACCATTTGCACTCCTCCTGATTGGATTTAAACTCCAGCCCAGTCCAAGATGTATCTGAGCTTTTTACTTGCCAAAGTTGCCTTCTCTCTTTATTGTTCTCCTTCTTCTGCTGATTTTGCTCCCCTTTCCTTTCCCCTAACACTGCATCAACGTAGCTACGCCCTTGCACTCTTACTGCCTCTGAGAAGTTGATTCTTCCTTCTGGTTTCTGCTTGTATTGGCTGTTCTTTTCCTTTTCGTCTCTTCCAGTGTTTAATTGGAATCTTGGACAATTCACCCTCAGTTTGCTGTTACCAACCCATATTTGGTCAAGCTGCCTCTCCAATCTCTTCACATCTTTGACGTCCAAGAACCGAACAAAACCGAATCTACAACCAGCTTTATTCTTCCTCCTCGGACTGTATATGGTATAAACCCTCCCAAAACTCAGAAACGTTTTCCACATCTGTTCATATGTCCAATCCTCGGGGAAGTTTGAGAAATAGAAGGCTGTTGCTTGGTTGTAGATTGTCCAGCTGAAGTTCCGAAAACTCTTCCCATAAGATCCTTCATCCTCCTTATCATAAAAACCCCTTCTCTGTTCTCCACGCCTCCATGTCGACCTCGCACTCTGTTCTCGCCGTCGTTGCCGTGATCCACTGCCATTTACTCGCACTCTCTCTCTACCCCTCTCTCTCATATCTTTTCTTGTGGTCCTTTTTCATAAAGAAATAATAGAGGAATTTACCAAAATGAAAGGAGTTAAAGCCAAAGAAAGTCCTTATATTTGAAAAACTATTCTTGTACTTTTACCTTCTTTTAGTTAAATGTCAATTTTAATTTCTAAAACTTTCATTTAAAATATTTTTAGTCCTTAAATTATTTTTTGTATTTTTTTGTCCTTAAAATATGAAAAATATACCTTTTTAGTTATTTTGTCAATTAGTCCATTAAGTTGTCTGGCTATGCATATTTTTAATTCTCTAACTTATAATATATGCACATTTTTATATCTTGAACTTATTTATGCATTTATGAACAAATTTAACGAATAAACTAATAGAAGGACTAAAAAGTGCATTTTCATAGTTTAGAAACCAAAAAAGTGTGAAAAATAATTTGAATACTAAAAATGTTCAAAATTAAAAGTTTAAAAACTGAATTTACATTTAACCATTTCTTTTTAGCATTGTTCTAACGAAAAGTGTAGTGATATTAACCATTCTTTTAGCATCATTTAAAATTAAAACTTTGTTTTGTTTGACTAATATTTATAGTTTTTTCTCAAATAGTTGACTGATTTTTGTAAATTTAACCATTATAAATTTGGCCCTCAAAATTGGGTGTGGTTATGGCTACACAAACTTTGTTCAATTTGACTGAAATTTGTATCTTTTTCTTAAATATTTGATTGTAATTTTTGAAAATATAAGCTATAAACTGCCTTTAATTTATTAAGTCATAAATATCAAATGTTCTATCAATTATGAATTGTTTTTAATAGTCAAATCAAGCATAATCAATATTTTTTTAAACAATATTGTGTAATTTTAACAGATTAATATCTTGCCATAACCACACAAGTGATGTTATGGTCACCAACTTGTCATTGATTTTATCTGTAATTTTATCAGTTTATAATTTTTTTAGACAATTAATTATAATATTTGAAAATATTTATTTATAAACTAATTTTAATCTGTTAACTAATTTTAATTTATTAACTAATAAATATTAATTATTTTATCAATTATTAACTAATAATTACAGTTATTAACCATTTTTATTAATTAAA